TTGCGAGCCTACGAATTGAATAATGGCCGTTGCACACCGAGAAAGTGATTTTCGTATTTTTTTTTAGCAAATTATTTCTGCAAAATTATATCATTTCCTAGCTGTTATAAGTATTTCCTGTTGCTTTTTCCACCAGATAAATAAATTACCAATGCAAGTAACAAATCAATCGGTTTGATTTTTTTCTATGTAAAAGCTAATATTCTTGTTTGTTATCTTACGATAAACAATATCATATTAATTAGTTAGCGCAAAATTCACAAGTGTACGTGATATTGTTATATATTATAATTACAAAAATAAATTCTGCACTTTTCTCAAACTTTAACATTAAAAAATGTAGTATATATAATATAACACAATTTCTTTTTATGTTGCTTCAAAAATTCCGTTATACAAGACATCCTTCAATAAAAAATTTTTGACGGAAACTGGCACGACGGGTACGGCAAACATACCTCTGATTAATTATGACAATATACAATATTATGGTAATATCGAAATTGGAACTCCATGCACTAGCTGCAGATGTTTAGAATACTTTTCGACACTGGTTCCTCAGATCTCTAGGTGCCATCAACAAACTGCATCCTGCTTACAATTAGCCAATCTGCTTGCTGTAAGTATATCAAAATAATCGCCATCTCTTCGATATTCTATTATTTATACATGTACATTTGTATTAAAAAATATTATTGTTTCAAGTATTAAAATAATCTTAATTATTTTTTTCTCGTTTAATGATTGTTATCAAATAAAAATATAAGAATAGTGCTGTAGATTTGTGTCTTTTCCATTTACATTTTAAGTAAAGTTATAAAATCTTTAATGCAACTGTTTCAAAAGTGAAACGTGGTAAAGTAAATATTGTGTAGCTAAGGTCCACAATTATATACTCTCTTACTTATATTATTTATCATTTACTTTAAAAATACAAATAATTTTTTATACAAAACAGCTCACGTGCTAAACCAAAAGATATAAACATAAATACATTTGCTAATTTAAACTACTGTTAGTTATATACTTAGATTAATAAAGGGAAATTTTTATATTTCTAAACTTTTCAATATTAACTGATTTAATTATTTTTATTACTTTTTGCAGTGAAACATAATAAGTATGATCATACAAAGTCCACTACATGTATATCACAAAATGATTTATTTGTTCTTAATTACGAAGATGGCTGTGTGTTTGGGTCCTTGTCTACTGATGTCGTATGGTAATCGTAAGTCATCGTCAAGTAAATGGTCCAACTTAATTCTAATTATAGTCATAATCTATAAAAGTTTTCTAAGGAACGCATGTTGCTATTATTCTCCGAAAAAAAACGTACGCGATTATATTTTATTAATATCAACATTTCGTAGAAATTGCTGGCCTTAAGGTTGTATTCCAAACATTCGGAGAAACGACGGACTATTCGGCAAGATCCCTCTCCAATACAAAATTCGACGGTGTCTTAGGGATGGGTTACCCCTCGTTAACTGGCTTTCGAAAGATTTCTGGCTTTAACAACTTACCTGTCTTTAACAACCTACTCGAACAACACAAGGAGTTCCGACACGTTTTTGGTTTCTATCTAAATCGGTATGTATCTCTCCGTATGTCTCACGTGTGTTTAAAACTATTTTTTTAATTATATACTTTGTCTTTCCATGCAATGCAAAATGCAAATGTACAATACAAAATTACACAACCTGTACAGAGATTTTTCGTCCGCGATGGGTGGTGAACTGATACTGGGTGGCTCCAATCCCGTTCATTACGAGGGCGAGTTTACTAATATTTATATACTATCTATTTTTGCAATATTCTTTTTTCTAAAGATTTCATGGCGATTTAATTTATAGAAAAAAAAAATTAATTTATAGATAAATTACTATTTATCAATTACTTGAAATATTAAACTAAACTGAATTATGTTATGTTACATTCTATAAGAAGATCATTATGTTCGTCGCTGTAACCAGCGATCGATTAGTCTTAAGAGGATATATAGCCATGCAACCCTCTCAATTCGTACAGATTCGGCAATGTGTGCATGTACATTTGCATGTGCGAGTGTGTGTATACGTGTGTATACATATATACACGTCGTAAGGGTGAAACAGTCCATCCGGGCATGCGCCAGGCTTCCTCTCCCTTCAGATACTATGAGCGGTGGTGTCTACGGCGGTGGTAAGTACGGGGCCGCGCTCCATAATTATTCCGACTAGAAAAAGGATTGCGTTTACACGCCGCACTAATTCCGCGTGGCTGTCCGTGATTGTTACGCCAGACGAGGTAGGTGCTATCATCTTCGACGTCGGACACCAGAGCCTCCGCGTGGGATATGGCGGCGAGGACACGCCGAAGGCCGAGATCCCGACGACCCTCGGGGTGTGGGAGGAATCCGCCGACCCCGGCGGAATCGACTGTAACAATATCACCAGAAAACACTACAACATCGACGTCACGGCTATCCAAGTGCGAAAGAAGGGTATACGCCATCATATTTTATTTCCATTAGCAGACTTGCGAAAAATCAGATAATTAAATATAATAATATAAAATGTAACTAAATATAATAATACGAGAAACACGTCAAAAGTGTGAAACATATTTTAGATTATCTCAGGTTTATATTTCATGTAATGGTAATTCACGCACGTGATAATAAATATTCTGCCACGACTATCTAATTGTTAGAGAGACCGATATTTCAATCGATATGCCGACACGCATGTTATTTAAATAGCAATTAAATAACATTGCTCGCGGAATATAGAAGCTTTTAACCAGAATGTAAAAATATTACAAAACATACATAATAATCTCAGAAATAAGGATAGAAATAGAATAATAAATAAGAAATATAAATATCTTTTTCCGTGATATTAATAAAAACGTAATCATCAACTGCAGTTCCAGGGTCTCTCAAAATTAACTTATTTAAAAGCAAAGTTTTGTACGAAACAAAAAATTCTAAATTTTTTTCACGTAGAATTACCTTTCGATTACGCGACAAAATGTTTTATATAAAATATTTTTTAACGTAAAACTTTAATCAGCTATAAATATTTCTTATCAAAGTGTATGATTCATTCAGTTTACAGTTAGATTAATCAGTACAATTACAATGTCATTGTCAGCAAGTGTTCAGATGTTCCTACAGCTCCGCAATATTGAAACGTCCGATTTCGATTTAGATATGGAGATAGTGAGCCTGATGAAGGACGGCATGATCGACGACTGGGACATGTTTGAGCGACTGACCGAGTACACGTACAAGCAACGGCTGCACGCCTTAGCTGAGCACCATCCGATCCTGATGACCGAGTGCCCGTGGAACACCAGATTGAAGCGCGAGAAGCTGTTGGAGTTGATGTTCGAGAAATTCAACGTGCCGGCTATGTATATCTGCAAGAACGCCGTGCTGGCCGCATACGCGAACGGCAGGTCCACGGCGATGGTCGTGGACAGCGGTGCCACGCATACCAGCGCGGTGCCAGTCCACGACGGTTACGTCATCACCCAGGGGATCGTCAAGAGTCCCTTAGGCGGTGACTTTATCACCATGCAATGTAGACAGTTCTTCGAGGAGAAGGACATCGAATTGTTGCCGGCTTGTCTTGTCGCCAGCAAAGGTAAACGATAGTCCGTTGATGATGAAGGGATTCAAAGAATGTAGTTAATTCAAATTGAAGAGAAAATGCGTAAAGTTTCCCTAAATATATATAAAAGAAATTTATGTAGAATTATTATGCAGAACAAATTATTATACAGTAGTCTCTTACTTTTAATAGATTTTTTTTAAGTAAAAACTTGAAAAAATGTAAAAAATTGAAGTAAAAGAATTTAAAAGGTATAATTTAGATTCCAATGGACTGCGAGGAATTCTAACATAATTTTGAAGATTTCTGCTCACCAATTCATGTTTCTTTTAGACGTAGTACGAGAGAGAGATCCACCCCGCTGGACGAAACGACCAGGACCGCAACCAACGTCGTCCTGGCTGAGCTACATGGTCCGAGAGCTGCTGCAGGACTTTCAGATGAACTGTCTGCAAGTGTCGGACAGTCCTTACGACGAAGACGTGGCGAACACTCTGCCTATGAAGCATTACGAATTTCCGACCGGCTACAACGATGATTTCGGATCCGTGAGGCTCATGATACCCGAAGCTCTCTTCGATCCCAGCAACGTTAAGGGTGTGGGCGCGAGTATTTTGGGAGTCGGCCCTCTTGTCACCACGAGTGTCGGAATGTGCGACATGGATATCAGACCAGTACGTATTTGCGGAATCAAATTTACATTAAGCTTATGCATAAAGTTGATTTTGACGATTAAATAACCTTCTTGAGGCATTTTGAATCGATTTGACGGAATCTTTGATCATATAGTCGTGCCATAAATTCTGTCTCTAAGAAAAATGGATTTATTTTATAATTAAAATAAAAAGCATATGAAATATAGATATATCTTATTAAATTGAACAATTACAGTACAAAAATAATGATAAATAATAAAATGTCTATCTTTTGCCTTCATAAATTTCTTTAAACTATCGGACTTCAAACTCTGTACATAACTATGGATATGTTATATTAATATTCTATTTATATTATTAATACTATTATATAATTATAATATTTATAAAATAAGGAAATCTCTGTTGCAGAGTCTGTATGGCAGCGTGGTGGTGACTGGCGGCAATTCTTGTCTTCAAGGATTTAGCGAGAGACTGAATCGGGACTTGGGCAGTAAGACCCCTCCGGTAAGCACGTTCTGTACTCACACTAATCTACTTATTACCGAGTTTTGGGCCTCTCGATTTATGACGACGCAATTTTTCTTCGCAGAGCATGAGACTGAAAATAATTAGCGCGAACAGCTCGAGCGAGCGACGTTATGGTGCCTGGATCGGCGGCTCGATCCTCAGCTCCTTGGGCTCGTTCCAACAAATGTGGCTGTCGCGTCAGGAGTACGAGGAATCCGGCAAACTTATTTTGGAAAGATGCGCGTAATTCAGTAATGAAAAAATTTTTTAAATCACGGTACAAAAAACGGACGCTCTCCGTTTTCAGTAGATTGATTACCTTCTTATTTAGGCTTTTGTTAATAATCGCTTCCCAAATAACACAAAAGTCTAAAACTTTTGATTTAAATGAAAATTAGAATATTTTTGCGACATTTTTTGAACATTTCATTTGCCAGAACAATCATTTTATGAATTAGTATGAGAGAAGATGGACTCGTTAATTTAGTCTAAATCGTAAATACTAATCAAACGTCTTACGTAAACGTTACAAGCGATTTACATAAAGATTGACGTAATGGCGACGGTGTAATGTAAGCCGTCCTCGTGAGCAACAACCATCAAACTCGTTTTGAAGCGCCTAAAAATTTAATAAGGATACTGCTAAAGCATTATTAATAAAAAAAAAACCGTAAATAATGTGCTAAGGTTTTTTCGCGATCTGCGAGAAATGACTTTTCACGACAAAGCATCATACACAATGTTTTCTCGCGACCTCGCGCACTTGTAATAAGAAAAAAGTGCGATTAATCAAAAGCATCCTGTATAACACGTAAATCGCGAGTATAAGCAATGTTTAATCGACAACTCGCTTAGACGCCTAATTAGATAGACGTATATAAATATAACACGCGCGGCTTATAAGAATACAGTTCCTAATTGCTCCGTGAATCTTCTACACATGGTATCTTACAATTAGAAGAGAAGAATCACCTTTCCCGTTAAAGCCATTCTAAAACAAATATAAATTGATACAATTTATCGCGTAGTAGACTTTCATTATATTTTATCAGATATTTATTTTTATTAGATATTTATTTGCTGTAAGCACAAAATACTTGTTTTATACATCGAGACAATAGAGACATATCGCAATTGTTCTCGTTTATAAGTTATCTTGAAGAAAAATAACATTATCGTATATAACGTAGTAAAAGTAATATTTCTAGCATATACTATACTCACTATTTACGTCCTGCTAAATATAAAAAATATCATCACATGTGAGTCATGCATTATTAATCTTAGAACTACATGCATATTTTTTTATACGCGCGGACTACATACCGGATCTCGCAAACCCAGTTGGATATTTTTATATGTAACTCCGGTAAAAGAACATATTTTTCGACAAATCTTTTTCCAGGAAAATGTCAAACATTGTAGAATTAAAAAATACGATTGTAAAGTCAAAATTTAATCGACTTACTAAATTAAAATAAAAAATAGATGTTTGAACAAGGAGAAATTTTCAAGAATGTTAATGACTTGAAATTCTTGTCGGGTCTTGCAGATTTGTATGTGTGTAGTTCTATGTTTAAGAGGCTGGCGCAAGTATTTTCATAAAGAAGAAATATTGCTCGAACTAAAAAGCAACCGGCGGACTGTAAACACGACAATAGCACAGTTCAAAAAGGCAGCAACTTAAAATTCCGCAGTAAAGATTCTTATTTTTCCAATTGTTCAAAATCTTTTAATTATTACTTTATATATAATTTAATTATTACTTTTAATTATTACTTTATATGCTTGCAACACACACATAATTAATTTCATTTGTATATATAATTGAAAAAGTTATAATATTTGTCGCTATTAAATATTGTACAAAGATTGGATCTTTGTAAAAAACTTGTTGAGTTGCTGCTTTCTCGAATTGTATCGTTGAAACAATCACACACTTCGGCAAGACAAAAAATGTTTATCATCTCGATGGTTTCGATGATCATTTTATTAAAATTGACGTAAATGTCTATAATACTTACAATCACAATTTCTCAATCAAAAGACTTAAGAATAATATCGATATATCAAAGTAGAAACGTGGTAGTTCGAACTAGTAATTTTTATATCTAATCGCAAGTGAGTAGGTAAGGAGACGGCGTAATCCAAGTGCGTTATTACGATTTCTAATTCTCATCGGTGAGGTCAATTCGTTACTGTACTACTAATACTGAGATAATCCTCGAATCTTCGTGCGATCACCCTAGTGGAAAAATGTCTCAGAATTTTTCAGAATTTTTATATAAATTGGAACATTTTTTAGAAAAAATAATAATTAAATATTTCAGATTTTTCCCGCTAACATATTTTTACAGAAATTTGAATAAATAAAAGAAAATCTGCGCAATTTTTCAGAAATTTTCATACATAATACATACGGATACTGAAATATTTCGAAAATTCTCATCCAATTATTCTTGAAGTATATCTGAGAAATTATATATATATATTTTTTTTTCTAAATTTTTTACAAGTCTAAATTCTTAGAAAAAAATCTGAGAAAATATGAGACATTTTTTCACTAGGGCAATATTCTCGATGGTGCGAATTCTTGCGGACCCACGAGAATACTTGCGCATCCCGTTTGGTCGTAGCAAGTCGAAAATAACGATGTGAAGATTGAAAACTAATAGCAACCTCAGAGTACATATATCTACGGTATCGGAAAGAGTTAAACAAGACTACAGTACAAGTCAAAATTTAGATGCGCTATAGAAGAAATAGTACAATTCGCAAAATTTAGGCACTGCACCGTAAAATAAATAGGCTTACAGTACAACGCAGAATCTAGATACAGTACTTCGAGAAAGATTTCTTTCATTCCGCAGCGAAAACGCAGATGATATTCGATATTCGTATGTCACGTGCTACGTCGCCGTATAATGTATCATGTAAACTCAATATGCGACATGTACTGCAATATGCCCTGTTCCTAATATATCTTTTAAACGTTTGTACCGAATAAAGCTCGGACATTTGTAATACATTGCAATCAAAACTACTTATTGTTAGAAGACACTTAAAATGAGTCTAGAAAGTTTCCGCGAGCGACACGGTCGTGGCTTTAAAAAATGTTTTAAAAAATCCAATAAATATCAGTGATTATAAAATAGAGTTAAAAGTAGTAGTTAATAAAACAATAAAAGTTCACCACCGTGTCGCCTGCATCCTAAACCGTTTGCTATACTTTTTCCCTCGAAATTTCGTAGACTCAAATGCTTCTAGTAAAGCTAGAAGATTATAGCTGGAACATTAATCGCTTCACAATCCCGCAAACGCGCTAAGAGCAGTTACGTTTGATCTACCTACGATCGTTAAATTAATAAAAGAAACAGCCGCGTTATCTTCGATTCTAATCGCCGGCGTGTTACGTCGAGGAACTTTCGGAAGCGAAAGTCTTCGCTTGCGGAAACTTTGTTATCACTCGCGGCAGCAGGTGTACCACCGCTATATCTCTAGCTGCCCAGTCGCGTCGGCTGTGGCATCTTGCAAATGGCATTGTGAACAGGCATGGACAGCCATCCGGCCAACGCGATTCCGATCGAGTCCGCCATCGTCGCGATTCCCAGAGAAGCTTCGCGATCCTCCCTCGGAATCTATAAGAGATTTCACACCGAATGAATTTTAAGCCGCGAAAAATATCGTTACATGCGTAGCAAAATATTCTTCATCGCATTAAATTGCAAAAAGATTTAATTTTTGACGCATTCCTTCGTGTCTGCATCGTTTTAGCATATTTCTTAAATGGAGAAGTAGCATCGTTACCTCGGTGGACATCCGATAGAACGTGTTCACGTACGCCCCGCCGCCAAGCAGACCCTCCCACAGTACAAGAGCAAAAACGATCCATATGTTCGGTATGTAATAGTAAATGGCCTCGAAGAGAAGGATTATGACGTTGACGAACTGAAAGAAACAATCAATTTGGAATAATGAGTTTTCCGATCAATACAATCCGTATTCTTCGACTTCCCGATTCCAGAAGTTTCATTTTTGTTACCTGCAACACGGACATGATCCAAATCTTGTTAATGGAAATTATGTTCACCGACGACCTCGAGATAAATACACCTATCTGGTAATCCACTTGAAGCCATCTGTACTGCTCGGAGTGCGTCAACCAAATGTCTTTGAATTCGATAAGCTCGTACTACAAACAAAATTTCGCTTGCTCAGTTAACGGCTTGTAAAATTAACAAGTCAGATAATGATTCGCAATAATGAGACTAAGGGCCGTAGCACATAGAGAAACTTAAGCAGTAAAACTTAAGCAGTAATCAAATCAGCCAATCACAGTCAAGAACTTAAGGCACGGTCCTAAGCGGTAGCGAATCCATACCGTTGATTTCCTTACTACTTAAATTTTACTGCTTAAGTTTTTCTATGTGCCACGGTCTTGATACGTCACAGACGACGATGCCTGACGCTGTAACTCCTGCATATATTTCCCTCTTAAAAAATCAAAACAGGAATATATCGAGCTGATTTAACAAGAGCACAAACGTGGGCAAAATTATATAACGTTAACAGAAAGAGATGGACGATTGTAATAAATATATAAGCAGATTAGAGATACATGTGTAATGAAGAGATATGAAGATTATAGCGGAATATCGTTACCAAGCCCTGATTGATGAAGTATTCGAACAGGTAAACCAGCCCGAGTGGTATCATGTACTTCAGCAGGCCAGGCACTAAATTGATCTTGTCTCTGAAGCTCTTCTTGGGGTTCTTGATGATCTGCTCTTGGCTGTCGATGCCGTTCTTGGTGATCGGGATTTTGGTGTGCGCCGGGTGTTTGAGGATACACCAAAACGTGATTGCTTGCAGGATCGGCACGATTAACATAACTAACAACGTGTGCTCGGTGGATAGTATCATGGTGAGCCCGGCGTAAGACACGGCGCCGATCACCCCGGCGCCGCCCGTGCCCGACGACCATGTCGAGATCACGTTCCTGCGAGAGAATTAATGACAATTAACTGTCAATACTTAATAATACTTGATAGAAAACAAGAAAATCATCAAGTAGCTAAGAAGCCGAGAAAATAAACACTAGCTGAATACAAAGAAATAAAAGTTAAAATTAATGCAAGCTTGTCCTACAATTTTCGCGCTTCAAATCATCTGACGTTAGAGTCTAATAAGCAGGTTGTTGTATCTAACAAGTTTGTTTGTATTACGCGACTCTTCCGCTTCATCTAGAGTGACAATATAACTCTAGACTCGCATAACGGACGTAATAGTTTACACCGAGTCCTCTTACGTTTTACGAGAGAGTGATTAGCGGTTAGCCGTCGTAATTGTTACTCTGCAGTTATCCATGGCGTGATTATAAACGTACCTATATATACGTATACTGGCGAGCTCCACGCGCGCAGCTTTTATCTTTATTTTTCCGCATGTAATCGCGCGCACGTGCACATATTATAGTTCATTACGTTTTCACATATACACACTTCCAGATCTGAAAGACCGAATCGCCAGCGTTGCATTATCTTATCGCTACTTCACTGTCACAACTGTCTAAATGTTAATACTACAATTCAGTGTACTCTGGAAATATACCCGCCGCCGTAGCAACAAACGACGAATCTGCTGCCTCGTAAAACGTTGAGCCGACAGCTTTAAATTCGACTATCTGACATTTTATTATACGTTCAAAGTTTAAATTTTACGCTCCTTCCGTCTACTTTCGATCCTCCCGCTGTTCCCAAAGAATCACTGAAGCATAGAAAATTATACATAACGTCCAATAAAAAGAGATACTGCTTAATTTTATACGCGCATCTGTATAAATATAAATTACGTCTACAATACAATTAAATTAATATAAAAATGCTGTGTAACGAGAAGCTATATTGAATCAATGATCTATATATTCGTGTCGGAAGCTACAAGAAGTTTCAGTTTCCGGTGTGTGTATAAACAAACGAGAACAAGTATAACACACTGTAATATGACAGTAACAAACGGGGTGTACACTTACTTGGAGAACTGGTTACTGTAACTAAGAAGGGTAACTTCACCCAAGCCGGAGGAGAGCGACGTAACGATGACGCCCAGAATGGCGAGCCATTCGGTAGTGCTCAACGACACCATGAGGAATCCTGCAGCGGAAAAGAACACACAGGTAGCCAGTCGAGCACTGTAATTAATGAGTCGATTGCTCGATTAGCGTTTGGACTGACGGTTCGGGTCGGCCGTTTGCACAACCGCGAAAGGACTTACACGATATCCGAGGCTCCGCCGTGCGCCGGATGAGGTTTAAAAAAAAAAAAGAGGAAATGTATCGAGAAAGATAGTAGATAAGTAGGAAGGAGCAGAAACACTCGAATTGCACGCTGGATCTCATACTCGATTAATTTCCCACATGCGATTTGTACACTTGGAACAAATTTTAAATTTTTCTGTTCTAAAGTAAAAAATATATGTGCGTCTCATAAAAAATGTATTATTAGTCTAATTAACTAAACAGTAGCTTAAAAAATTATTTTACATAATAAAAACTTATTAGATACAATTATATTGATAAATTTCTTTTTATATTACATAATATGCGGAAAGTGAAAACTCTTGGATTAATTAAACACTGCCAGTTAGGTTAAATCTAGTGCGTCTCATAAAAAAAATGTATTATTAGTCTAACGTCTAACTAGCTAAATAATATCTAAAAAAAATTGTTTTACGTGATAAAAACTTATTAGATATATTAAAACATTTGATATATTACATGTACAAAATGTGGAGAATGAAAACGCTTAGATTAATTAAATACCTCCAGTTAAGTTAAATCTAATTATTGCAGTTTTGTTTGCATATTGTTTTGTTTGCACTTTATTTTAGAACAAACTAACATAATTAAAAGTGTACGTCATTATGAGCATCATCTAATCGTCGCAATGTAAATTAATCTTGGTATGTTACGTTTAATATGCTATCATTTTACTAATTATGATATTATCGTGGAGCATCCAAGCGTGAAATCTGCAGGTGTTCAGACAAGAGTTTTAATATCAAAGGAAATATGTGCTCGTGTATCCAATGCAATCAATTGCGCAACGCGAGAAAAATCACATAGAATCTGGAAGACAATACAAACGTTTCACGGAAAAAAAAGAGTCACACATCGCGTTTAGTTCTGTCGTCATTCCAATTAATTAATGGGAGTGAAACGCGGAGGTATTCGTTTTGCATTCGTGCTCACTGGGCATTCGTGCTCATTCGGACAAGTAATCGGACAAGGATAACGCGAAGATGCACGAGAATGCATCGTAGGCGTTACACGCGGTTGAAAGAAATAAAAACAAGGATAAATAAAGATAGATACTCACTGCACTAGAAATGGTAGGAATGGCGCCGTGATCTTAATCGCCAGTGCTGGCAGAATGTCTGCCAAAAGTATAGCACCGGTCGAAACGTTGTTGCACGTGCGACCATCCGTCGTGTTCGTGACGTTTGTGATTGGTGTGGTATCCTATAGAAAGATCGGAAAAGCAATTGCAATTCAATTATAGCACTCCGTTCGAGATAAAAATTAAAGAAAACATTCCAAGCGTTTTTTGAGAAAGGGAGAGATTTTCCGAGAAATTTAATTTGAGTATTTTCTTCGTGAAAATTTAATAGTAACACAATAAAAATATCGTTTCGCAATTTTTATTTTTTTTGTAGTAAACTCGCTCTGAAGTATAAAAATAATTTTTATTTTATGTAATAGACAAAGTGTACTCTGTCAAAAAAATAATTTTGACATTATGCGAGTGTATCGTTTCGCACGTGATATACTAATTGCTCCTTTCTTACGTAATTTATCGACCATAAATACGACGCATTGAAAGGATAATGGTTGCACAATAAGGCAGTCTCATGCTGCTTTATTAATGACACTCGTTTTTCTCACTCAGGAATCCGACCGGAGGACATGAATTATTAAAGCACGACGATTTTCCTCGTTCAAGACAAAATCGAATCATTACGCTATTAAAATGGGTCATTAAGTGTTATCATTATCGCGGATCACGTTTATCAATTTATTGCTAAATTGCGGCATGATTCGACTGATTACTTCAATATATGTATATTAAAATTGCATTTGCACATATGTTAGAATTGCATGCATTTTGTATCTCAGTGGTCTGTTAATATCGTTGGAAAATTTTCCATGGAACTTCCACGAGTATTTAATTACTTTTCAGATTGGTATCGTATATCGGCGCAAGAATTTAATCGATGTTAAATATTACCAATTGACATTTTGATCTATGCAAAATGTCAATCGCAAAAGATTGATTTAAAAGGAAGAAGGAAAAGATATATCAATCATCTATTACTTGTGCCAATTCAGTTGCGGTTTGCGGTTATTTAATACAAATGCTCGGAATTTATTTCTGCATTAAAAATAACGAATGTGTATATAAATTATAAAGTGACTTTTTACTTTCTTAATGTTAATTAATTTAGTCTTCTAAAGCAGATTAAGTGTTCTTCTAAATTGTTTAAATTAAAATAGATTAAAATAGATACGCTAGCTGTTTCAGCAAATAATGTTTGCATTTGACTTCCCACGCACTTTACACATTCTTTGCTTGCATCGTTGCACTTTCAAATCTATATTAATATAAGTCTTATGTGTGTACTTATCGATAAAATGTCTCATGCGAGCGTTATTGAGAGGCATTATCGCGGATACTGTTTCATGTGTTGTTGGACTCATTTCTGAACTGACGGATAACAGATAATTTTTAAGAAAATGTAAAGATATTGCTACATTCGATAAAAAAAATATCAATCGGATATAAAAGGTTAATTTAATTGTACACAACACAATTATCGTAAAGATATTTAGCCCGTGATTTAGGCTGTATGGAAATTTTTTCCAGAAAATAAAAACACGAGAATATTTCCAAAATATAGAAAGAAAAGATGCGTGAAGTTGAAAGATCTCTGAGAATTCACGTCACAAATGATTATTATGCCGGTCTTTTGTGAATAATGCAAAGTGGTTCACGCTATCTCATGCGGAGATGAATCTGATACTCATTGTCAGTCACAGTATTGTTATCTGGAGCAGGCAACAACGCGGTGAGTTCATCCAGAGATAACTACGTCTCCGTTTCGCTCGAATTTCACAGATAAATCTCAAATATTCCACTGTTAAAGGGTTATCGGAGTAAATTTCTAAAATTAAATAACTTCTGTCACGATAATCTCAATCTAATTATTTCGTTTAAAATACTTTTGCACATACTTTTAAATATTATTAGATTCTTAAATCGAAAGATAATTATGATTATAAATTAAGACAATTATTTTCTTGTTTTACAAATAATGCGCGAAAAACTGCATTACAAAAGATATTTAAATTTTATTTTAATATTAATATTGTATTTCGCAAAAATTATTAAAAGAATTAAAATAATTATATATTTTTCATATTTTACAAACAATGCTCTAAAAACTACATTACGAAAGATGTTTAAATTGAATTTTAATATTAAAATTATTATTTTCTAATTTGGTCAAAATATAATTCGTCGTAATATAATTTTTCGATTTCTCCGCAAACTCTGCCAAATTAAAAATTCCAGTTTTCTTCGCAGACAATCAAGAATCACGTGAATCACTCACCTTCTCACCGAATTTGCTCTGAAGGATGTCGTGGGCCGCGCTGAGCATCACGACGTAGCCGTAATTGTTGCACAGACCCAGGATCCAGAAGGCCAGGAGATTGCGCCATCGCGCCTTCTTCAAGATAGCTTCCTCATCAAAAACATTCCCGGCCGCGTGCGAGCTCCTCAGATTCTTCTTACACATCCCAAAGAACAGTTTCGAAAAGGATCACGTTCCTTCTTGCTTCTATGGACTTAACTTTTAGACTTTCCGTCTCCTTCTTTTATCTTCGTCTCTCTCTCTCTCTCGTCTTCTCTATCTATCAGTTCGTTTCTTTCCTCTGACTGTCTTCAAACTCTTTCCTCGTTTCAGTGCTTTCCTCGCAGCACGTGCGCGTCTAAATCGGCGTCTGAACCCGTAGGTTCGCTTTTCTTTCTCTCTTTTCGTCTATCGGTTTGTCTCTTCTTCACTGACTTTCCCTTTTCCTCTTCGTCGCTTAGCTTACTCTATCGCTGTCGTAAATACCGCCTCGTCTTCGGCTTTTCCCGGCCGAGCGGCGGCGAGGTGCTTCTTCTTTTAGAACGGATTCAGCAGCGTTCGGGCTTCGAGAAACTTCTTCAAATGCTGTTGAAAGCCGAAGGATACTCGCATATAACACGAGGATAATTCGTGCAATAACAACGTCGTTTGGCACTCACGTGCCTCAAGTGTACATTTAGTTGAAGAGTGATTGGCACCGAATTGTTTTGCGACGACTATATCGTTTCTATTAATCCTGCAAATCCTGTACCGGCCTTTTACCAGTTTAAATCACAGTAGTGTTGATTGTACTGATGAGAAAATCACATAAAATGGAGCGCGAAGGTCGCACAGCCTCGTTTTCTTCGTAAACAAGTGCGTACCTTCTCGCAATGGAGTAAAAGCACGTATTGTCTCGGTCGATCCCGCAACAACGAGCTCTCCGATGGCCTTCTACAGTCACCAGTTATTAATGGAAATACCTCGGCTACTAATGAATCGCAGAACACGTGACACCAAGTTCAACGTTCTTCCTCCTTCGTAAACAGAGGAAATATTCTATTCGAAAGTAAATACTTGATTAATATTTCGCAAATATTTCGATTTTTTTTAAATATAGGCATTTAATCAATAACGTGCGAAATGCTGCTTTCTCACGAGTTATCGCTCTCCTTCGGCGAACGATACCGCGCGGCTTTACCATTTAAATTCGCGACCTACGATGCACTGGATATACTTTTTCCTCAGGATAACACCAGCCGGCGAGTTCGGTTCCCTTCTCCTCCTTCCACGGTACGTGCACACACCAGCTTCGAGAAACTTCCCCAATTTTTCTTTCAACCGAGCTTCCTCGAACGCACACGCGTTAAAGTACTGCAGTTTGCAAATGCGCTTCTTTCAAGATGCACCAACAGGTCACCATCTGTTAACGCCGACGAATTTCAAATCGTGCTTTTCGCAACTCTTCCGTATATATCGTGGATATATATATGGCGTTTTAGTATTTATCCGTGATTTTGGATTGAAGATCTGGATCGTTTTGTCGGCTAATCTGGATGTTTCTCCTCTAAAATCGAGCGAATCCGTCGAAAAGTCCAGCAGTCAAGCTGTTAATAAGAAAGACAGTAATAGCAGGAGAATTACAATTGCAGATTGGTGAATGAATTGCTGATGTGTTGGCGAGCATAAAAAAAACGTGCTTTTAGATTGTCTGAGAGATTCAGCTCGCGCTTCGCGTTTGACGTGTTATTTGAAAACAGCGTGTGCAGTTTGAGATAAATATAGAACGCATTAATATTTATGCCCGTTTTACATAATTGTAAAAAGTATGTGGCAAATGCATTACGTCGTATAAATATACCGTTATTATTAACGTTTTATATTAAATTTTTATGTTTAGCTTTCCTACTCGAATTCCTGTGTAAATTCTCAGCGTGATCGCATTCAGCGATCACCTCTGCGTTTTAATATTGTTAACTGCCTCCAGTTAGGTGACACTAAACTACATTTTCTACGCGTCTATTCAAGGATGGCGTTATCGCGCTACTTTGCACGGACAAACATAAGGAGACCCTGTGCACAAGACGTGTTTTCACTCGCGGAATTTACGCTTCGCGCTATTTAATTTCCCCCACATTCGAACAAGCACGAATAATTTAACGTACAAATCGCGAAACGCATCATGCATTTTACGAAGATAAATCTTGGGGAATTTCAAAATATCGTATAATTTTTTTTAAGTTTTGAAATTTGTTTGTGTGAAATGTATTTTTTTTTTAGAAAAGACGCTTTTATCGTACAAAGCGGCCTGCGTACTTGCATTGCAAAACGCGAACGTGAATTGAGGATGTTAATTCGCGTATTGTGATGGAAATATGTATATATGCATGCGAGATATGTAGATAACATTTTGAACGTTGGAATCTAAAAAAATTTCCGAAACCTCGTTATTTGAAAATATTTTTGTGATAATCTTGCAGTTATATTATATTAAAAGAAATCTCACGTTCGATTTCTTCCTCTTTTTTATTTATCAATACTTCTGAGTTGTAAATTTTTCCACTATCTTTTACGTTCATTGCCACGCAATTCTACCGTGTAGCAGATATAGAAGCGGATTACGAAACGCGTTATCTAAACAGAGAAGAAAAACAAAAGTAAGCAAAATAGTTATTTCCCAATATGAATTTTATTACCAAAACAATATGAATTTTGTTATCAAAATAGTATCTTTTGCTGAAAATAGGATGACAGCCATATGCATATAGGATAAAATAAAACGGCATAAAAAGTGCATGGTAAGACACGTCTTGACATCAATCGCTCTCGTTTTCTTCGTTTAAATTATTTAAATTTCTTATTTAAATCTTTTCTTCGCGTCAAGAAATAAAATTCAAGTAACACAGTTCATGTACTCGTTTTGTTATCTCACGACTCTCGAGAGGTTATTGCAATTGTATTATAATTTCTTTTATCTCTATCTGTCAGTGATACTGTCACCGTCAGTCAAAGTAATCCACGTCCAGTGACGACTCCGTGTGTATTCCTGATGTCGGTTCATGCGTTTTATCGCGACTCATGTCGGCTGCGGATAACGACTCGCTGCACAGTTTGCAGCGACGGACTTTTTGACACGCGACTGGCGTGTATGTTACATACGAGCCGATTACACTTGACCCATCTTCAACGATATTCAGCCGGTGCAGTATAATGACAGCCGTATATTACCATACTGAGAAAGGAAGCCCGTGGTTGAATCGAATAAAACTCGGTCAAACGGAATCTCCAAACCCCAAATGAATCGCTTGAATAAGCAAGTTTAATGCTAAAACTTCGAATGGTTTTACATATTATGATCGTAATTAACAACATTTTATATTACGCTACATTATTTGATCAAGGGCCGTGACGATTGTTTAAACAGTTTTATTTGCATAAGCAAATTCTTTTCTCAGTATATATATCGACTGCACAATTATTTAAAAACATCACTGGCGATAAGACAAGTGCGGGTACCACTTAATTTTGCAGCTTCTTCTAATCAAAATTAATGTAAAATAAAATAATAATACAATAATTGTCATTTCCTTCATCGCTCAATAAGTTACATATTACGACTGAGATAAAATTTTGAGACTACGTTTTGCTAATTAAATTGCTCTTAAACGATTTGCTTGCCTCGTAATAGCCAGCATCTAGTGTTACAGATCTCGTCTAGCGTTACAAATCTAATATTACTGGTCCTTGTGAAACAAAGGCTTATTAGTCGACCAGAAACGATTACCGAGCCCGCAGTGACGATTTAAATAGATTTGACTGACCGGAATGCCGTTTGTTTACGGCTGCGCTTTTATCGTTTTGCTCCCAAACCGTCATATTAAATTTAATAATAGCGCGTGAAGATATTCGTTCATTTGAGTGACTCACATTCGTGCTCTATATTTAAGTGCAGCCGCTATTTAATTGCCACAAGAAACGTTACTACAAAATAAAAGTACAGCTGTATTTTGCACGGAATGTGGGTTTTCGTAGGTATTCGGATGAACATCTGGACTAAACAATTCTAATGTGTGAAAGAATACTTTGCAAAAGAAGCGTGACGTGTACGCTAACTCTTTAGCAAAATTAAACGACACTTAAATTGTATTATCTTTGCGATATAGAAAAAGTTTTTTATATTAAATAATTTTATTTTAAAAATATTTATTTTACATCAAATTTTATATGTGCGATGAAAGAGCTATGGTCAGGACAAAAAATTATCTTGAGCTTTAAGGTGCATCGGTATAAAGAGTTGAATAATACAGTAAATTCTTTTGTTAGTACATATATATATATAGTTGCGAAGTAATCGCGTTACTCACTCGAAATTCGTCTCCGAAGAGTTCAGCGAGAGACAGATCGAAGAGTCTCTTATATAATAACGTTTTCGGGATATCACAAACACAATCACAGTATGTGATATCACCAAAACCAGCAGGTGATATCACAAAGACGGTGCAGCGTGCAGCTCCGAATCGGCGATTGCCGAAATCGTTTTAGAGTAGCTCGAAGACCGATATGATTTATTAACGTTCAAGAATAATTTAATCGCTATCACAGCTTGATAGCGCAATCGATAGATAGATAAGAGCCGCGCTCGGGAGTGCCGTAGTTGTCGCGACGAGTTCCAGCTCCAGAATAAATAAATTCCTGGCGAAATCGGCACATATATCATCGACATAAGCGCGACCACTCGGTAGGATCGACAATGGCATTTCGTTCTTGAACGATTCCGAGGCTTCCGAGCGTTCGTGACACGAACGGCTGTTTAGTCGGCTTCCGACCGTCGATCTGGTCGGAGCTGATCGGTTAATGACGATAACGCAAGCCGAAGAAAGAAAAAAAGGAAAAAAGAGAAATAAATGTATTCTATTCAATAAAAAATGTTTTTAAATTATAATAATGCGTAACAAAGACATGCATTAAAATTTAATTGGTTAAAAATAATGAAAAAGTTAGGTAGTAATGGAAAAAGAAAAGACGGAAAGAATTTTATTGATTCTTGAAATAATTCTTTTTAACACAAATAAAGAAATATAACGTTAATTAAATCGAGATAATTAAAGATATTATTGATACATCTCTCTTTCTCTCTCTCTCGCTCGACAAACGAGAGAGATAAAAATTGATGTCGGTCACACACCGCTTCAAAGAATCGTGATAACGTGATAAAATAATGAGTTTTGATAAAAATCTGAATGACGTTCGACCACTAGTAAATAACACATTAATATAAGATAAGGAATGAAGCCGTATCTTCCTGCCTTCGTTACAAAATTCGAAAGTTGCACTTGAAAATTGAAAAACATCGCGGATCTACTTGTGCAGCGAAGTAAACGCCTCGAATAATGGCTAGATTTACAACAATTCGCGGAACAATGTGTTTTTATATCACTATATATTAGTATGATCGAGGAGTATCAACGTGACATTGCGATATTGCCGATTCAATGACACTTCCTATAGAAAAAAGAGGGCCATGGTTCGCTGAGAACCTTCACGCGTGACATTGCGTGCATAATGCTGGGATAAACTCAATTATTTAAATTCTATAAGCATAGTGCAATATCCCTTATTCATTCCTTTGCGTGGCACGATTACTATAAACAAATTACCGTTATCCGCTGGTCGAAAGAATAATCGATAAACCGAGAGACATTTTTAAGTAACTCTAGCGAAACGAACTTTCTCCTATACTTACGCTTTTTTAATTGTAATTTAAAAAAAGATCTTTTAAAGAAAGAAACAATAATGTACATAATTATAATCGTACGATATGCTTCCGACGTCATTATGCGATAACCCCGTCATCTTTTCTTTGTTGAGTAATATTTAGACCAGCCCCCAAAAATGATGCAATATTTCTTGAGCAATGACTCTTTGAAACACGTTTTTGTCTCTATTTAAATATATCAATTAATACGTTAAAATTTTGATTAATTTACTTTTGATAATTCTTAATGTCTATATATGTGTTTATAATATAAAAATTATATAGATGTAATTCTAGATTAATAAAGACAAATACATCGTCAGAAATCGATAAAAGAGATATGGAATCTCGACCAAATAAATCTCGATTATATTTCGATTTGACTTATATTCACGAAACCCAATGTATCTACAAGCACTTCGCGATGAGATTATAACAAAATGGATAGATAATATAATTAATGTGTGTGTGTGACAACGAATCAAGATAAGAATTTAATTAAGTCTTCGCACTTGTTTTCTCTGATAGCGTATTGTATATATATGCTAAATATTAACGATTTATGAATCGATAATAAACGAGTCTCGATTAGAAGTTAACATGTTAAACACGTTAAACCTGTTTTATAATGTAAAGATTGTGTCGATAATTGGAATATGATTGGAATAAAATAATAATTAGAATGAAATAATCGAACGCGGAAGACTCAAACGTTATGAATATTTAACGTTGCTCGAAATACCGTACATATCGAAACTTATTATGTTGCAAGACTGGTATAACACATATTGACGCCTTTAATTAGAAATGCATAATATTAATTTTTATTGCATACTTACAAATAATAAAACAGTATTTAAAAATATAAAAAAGGTGACATCTTGCAAGTTGTTCTTATCACAATTAATTGTAAATAATTGCAACGTGTATTTTAAAAATTAAAAATAACCTATTTAATATAATTCATGCATTCTTAAATCACATCAGTTTTCAAATAAACGTATGTAGGTATAACTTAATACAAAAAACATCATGTGCACGTGCTAGTGTTTAAATAAAAATTTCCTGTTCAATACTATATATAATGAATTATTATATGTATAATAAAATAAGATTGGCATATTAAAAATATTCTATTGTTTCAAAAAAATTGTATTTCTATAGAATTAAGCATTTAATCATTCTTTAATTACCTTTTAATTAAATCGAGTAAAAGAGTTAAAGAGTAAAAAATGATTGTATTTCATCTACTTTCTTTATACTACTTTAATATTTAACACTTAATTTGCTGTTACAAGAATTAAAGTGAATAAGTAGAAATAGAAAAGAAAAAAGTTATTATTACGTAAAAAGTAAAATAATTTGCCAAGCTTTGGTTCGATCATTCATCAACGTTAATTTAATTTTTCTAAATCCGATAAAAAAAAGTTTTTCAAAAATAATTTCATAAAGTGGGTTAATTTATTATTGCCTGTTAGGTATCTTCATCTTTTATAAGGAGCATCGTTTTACTCTGTGGATTGATGGGCTCTCACAGGAAGTGGCAGGACCGTGTCGCCCACCGTCAGGGATCCTTGACTGAAAACCTGCGTCTCTGCGGACACTCCTCTGGGCGAGGTTGGCACGCGGCTATTCCGCATCCTGCCGATCGGCTGGCGTCCCCTGATCATCTTGTACCATCCCTTCTGACGTTTCGCGAGGGGACTCCTTATGTCGAGCGCGAACGCGATCGAACCTTCCCTCGAGGACCCCTCGGTGACCTCGCGGGTTCGTTTACCGGGACGAGTTGTGCTGTTGTTGGCGCTGCTGGATAATTCCTGCGAGGATGTCAATTCCTCAACGATCTCTCGTCGCTGCATCACTTCAGTTGCCTCGATGCTTCTTGGCGGTATTCTCAAGCCTGAAACTGAAGTTCCGAAAAGAGTTATAGGGATTAGAGTTGCGCGAACGCGAAATCTTATCTCTCACACTGTTAAATATTAAAGGATGTTAAATATAAAATTTAAACCAATACCTCAAGTTAAATAACATTTTGTTATATTTTGAACTATTATATGCGTTTCGAAATTTATTATTTTAACTTCATTAATTTAGTTAAATTAACAGCATATTAAATTGGCTAATTATCTTTCTATTTAATTTGCTAATAAATTAAATACAATAGAAGCAGTGGCGATCTATAGAGAAATGGTTAAAAATGACTCAAATTGAGTATGATTTGACATTACGATTTTAACAGTGCGCTCGAATAATCGCGAATAATTAAAACTTTCACCGACCAGAGAAACTTCTGAAGGCGTGCTTCATAGCTTGCGTGAAGGTCGACAGAAATCCGCTGCTGTTATTGTTTTCGCCGCTCTGTACGGATGACGAAAAAGATGCTGGCGCGAGCTGTCCGTGATTCGTCATCATCTCCGCCCTGTTCGGGGAATAGCTCTCGACACTCGAGACACTCATCCTCATCGTCGTGATAGACCGTCTACAGACGTTAGCAGACTCGGGCGCGCTGACTGAAGGTGCCTGACAATTCGCCGACGCGATTTGCTCCTTCATCATGTTCAGACCTTGGTTCAGACCCGATATGATCAGATCGTTGGTTAATCCCCCCGAATTGCTCTCCATCATCACCACCACCACCACGCTATTGGAATCTCGCTGATTCGAAGTTGGCCGAGTTGGCGCAACTTCGTCGCTCACTTCAGGATCTCTATTCTCTTTTTTCGCGTTTTTCGTGTTGCCCTGAATGATCCTGATTTCCGAATTGCTTAAAAGATTCTCCGAAAGTTGTATCGAAGAGCGCGTTTTATCCTCCGCTTCGCTGTCGTTCGTGCTCTTCGCACCTTCCGCGCTGCGCGTGTCTTCCACGTTGTTCGTATCATCTGCGTTCTTCGCGTCCTTTATGTCTTCCGCAGTGGTTTTCGCCTTCCGTGCGTTGATCTCATTATTAGCGTCGTGAAACTCATCATCCTCCTCCTCCTCCATCGACGTGTTGAGAATAGTTCGCACGCAGGAGTCCGTCAAGTTTATTCCGCGCGTCTCGCCCGCCGCGGTTTTAAACTGATCGGAGAACCTCACCTTCTTCACGACGTCCTCGCGGACGTCGTCCGACTGCGGCGAGTCCTGCAGGATGCCGCCCTCGGGCGATGTCAGGTCCATGTCCACAGGCGACGACACCTTGATCTCGTTAGCAGTTATCTTCTCGGCGGCTTCTTCGTGCGCGGTCTTCTCTTCCTCCTCCATGATGCAAAGCTTCCTGAAGGAATTGCTTGTCTTGAAGAAGTCCTCGTCCCTGCAAGTCCTGAAGGGCGTCTCCTCGCTCGAGGCGTGCAGCACGAAGCTGAAGAACTGCGTGTCGTTCGAGATCGACGCGATCTGCGCGATCGAGTACGGCGAGCTCGGCTTGGGCGTTTTCAAAGTGAATTCCGGCACGCAGGGCGTCTCGAAGCCGGCCTTTTGGCCGATGAACATCGGCGTGCTGGTCTTCCGATAGATTTCCGGCGGCGTGCAAAATCTGCTGCCGTTGCAGTCGCTCTCACTTATGGAGCACAGCTTATTCTTCTCCAGGTAGTCGAAGCAGGTCGGCGACGTCAGACAACGCCAGCGTTCAAACCACTTGCACGCAGCTGAAGATTCAATTAAAAATGTGGAATTAACATACTTGCCATAAAATATACCCGACGTTGAAGATAAAAGATCTATTTATAGACTTGAAATTTACGCGTTATGCATAATTTTAGAGAATATTTTAATAGAGAAATTTTTTATTATTTATGTAAGAATTGCATTAGTTTATGTATTTTATATCCTTACATTTTACTTTAATTTCGATTTGATTGTATATATTATAATATTCTACATGCTTTCCAAGTAACAAAACTTTGAAATAGAGACAGAACTTTATAAATAAAAACACAACTTTAAAATAGAGAAGAAAAGCATCATATATTTGACGGTCATATTTCCTTCTAGCGGACTGTAATCTTTATATTATTCAAAATTCAAGCGAATGAGTTTGCATGAATTTCTTTCAATTCGTTATTTTTACAGATTAAATATATAAACAGTAATCGTCTCTAATGGAACAAATCTTGTCGAAAATTTGGTTCTAAAATTCTCGATTATTGACGATGATGCTTTTCGATTTTCGCGAGTAATTGCGGACTGTCGGATCTTATTTATTAACTTGCTTCGCGAATTATATTACCGATGGACTTGAAGTCTTCTCTGGATACAAATAAATCACCGCACAGCCGGCAACGTAACGGCAAATGCTTGTCTATTATGTGGCTCAACAATTTCTCATCCTCCGAGTTCAGTTTCGCGGACTCGCACTGTCGCATCGGCAATATCTCAGAGGCGCACAGAAAACAATCGGGATTCACGTCGGGATGCGCCTTGTCCACATGGCGATCGTGACATTTCACGCAGCAAAACGTCTTCTTGCAGAACCGACAGACTCTGTTCGCCACCTCCTGTCCGAAGTGAAAGATCTTCGAAAACGGATATGCGGCGCTTTTACTAAATACCTTGTCTTTTAACATTTCCAGACGTGATTGCCGAAACGATCGGGTGTTTACTAATCGAACTGTTCAACGACAAACCAGTTCGTCGATACGTCCTTGGGGGAATAACAATAGAAACAGACAAGTATGTATGTACATACAAAGTAGAAATATACGAAAGTCAGAGATTACAATTTATGAACGTCCGTATTAGATTACATTTTCTACTTTGTATTTATAATTTGACAAATAAAAAAAGAACTTGGGATGGAGCAAACCTCATTTACAGCTAAATAAAAATGAAGAAATCTCCATATCTTTTTTTTATTTAAACTTAGAGAAAGAGTTACATATTTTATAGTTTTTAAAACAAATTAGAAACAAAGAAGCTTTATCTAATCGAGAAGTGTACGTTTTCAACAGATGATTCGATTTCTGGAAATTAAATCAGTGGATCAAGGGCTAAAGGTTCATTTTTAAGATATAAAAATTTATTTAACAATTAGCGTAAAAATAAATAAATAAATAAATGGTTTCGCAGTGTATTTAGTTATCATCTGTATTTTCTTTTTCCTTGGATGCAAATTGGTTTTAATTTCATAACGCATCGTTCGCAGTTTTCGCCACTGTATTCGATTCATTATCAAAGTCATTATTCGCAGAAACGATCAATACTCGTTTCATATCATTCGCCAATGACTCATCTTTGTATTCGTTCTCGGTGCTGCAATCGGAAACGGATATATCAAGTTGATATAAGTTTTGTAACCCATCGATGGCTTCTCCGCTATCTTCATCCTGCACGGTTTTCGCGGATGTACTTGGCTGATTGTCGGAGTTATTACTCGCAGAATTCAACGCCCATTTAATTCCGGATATTGACGATTTATTTTCGTGTTCAATCGCTGCTTCGACGTCGATTTCGCTGAAATCGGTGCTATCATCGAAAGTGGAAACGTTTTTCTCAGCTCTTCTCCTACTTATTAACAATGCTTCCTCGTAAGGCGGTGCTATGGGGGTTTGCACCGGTTCGTGGTACTTGTACTCCTTACCTTCGTACTGAAAACATTTATGTATAATGATAAAACCGAGGCATAATAAAATTAAAAAATAAAATATAAAGGAGAGCAAGGATTTGCTAGAACCATTTGATTTACAGTTAAATGAAAATATAAATAATGTTCTCATAAACTCACGTTTAGTGGATAACACATATCAGAATCGGGCTGACTGAGGTCTCCGCACACGACGAACGGAACGACGACTCTATTAACTCCTGTCAATTTCTCAAAGTCGCACGGCTCCTCCGTCAACCAAGGATTCAGCATGTTTGGCTCGTAGCCTTCCGGCGGGCTGTAGTCTTTACAGACCACAAACGCCTCGATGCTCGAGTTGCGGGAACTGCTAGGTTTCGTGCAGTAGACATAAGGGAAAAATATTCTCAGTTGAGCGTACAAAAGCGACACGTCCTTAGCGCGGAAGATCTTTGCGACGAATGTCCCGCCGGGTCTCAGGATGTGCGTAGCTATGTTCAAAGCAGCCAGTAGCAGCTGCGATTGGATGAATATATCCATGTCGTGTAGACCGGTCACTGCAAACAGAATAAAATTTAGACAATTTAGTTGACGCGCAGGTTTACTAAAGTTTAAAAATATGTGTAATACACAGAAATATTACTAGGCTACTAAGATCAAAGCTCGGACTATAAATGGCTTATTCGATATTAATTGAAAATAAAGTTTATCGATCATACAGACAAATCTGTTGAGAACAAAAACGAAAAGGATGAAAGATACGTACCATCAGGTGCCCCATCGCATACCACCAAGTCCGCTCGGGTGTTATCAAAGTGCGCAATTATCTGCTCCGCTGTGCTGGTGTTAGTAATGTCACCTTGCAGCTGGATAACTCCTTCCAAAGGCGCCATTGCTTGCAAATCAACCGCCACGATTTTTGGCGGAGACGCAGGACCTTCTTTTAAAGCCTCCTGGTAGTTTTCGCTATAAAATAAAAATGTACAATTGTTTTATTATACAATAAGAAGAATACTTTTTTGTTACACAGCACAGATCTTTTATTTGGTCTTCTATAAAATTCATTTACTTTAGCTTGCGAGCCAAGACCTGGCTCCAGCTTCCAGGCGCAGCGCACAGGTCCACCGCTTTGGATACTCCTGAAAGAAAGAGAAAAAAATTATCTTTTAACGATACAAAGATCTTCTCTCAACATTTGTTATTTATTATCGTTAATTATCAGATCTGAAATTTTTATTAACATTTCAATTTCTTGCGTTGTTTTCACATTCTTTTTTCATTTATCCAAATCGTGCATTATCAGTTTAAATAACATGTGATAAAATGTAATTAAAAAAAAGCAGAATTATTATTTGCTGCTATCATACGCACCATCAAAAATTTGACACTCCGAATCAATTTGGAGCAGCTTGAAGGCACTCCGGGCTCGCCATCCTTCTTCCTTCGCCTTTCTATAATATATATCGCGCTTGTCTTTTGAAGTTTTCCCCATTGTTGATATTTTCCGTTAAACTCACAGTTTTTGTCGCACAAAATAAGTATCTGAGAGCTTTTAAAATAGTTTTAAAATCTTTAATTAATGTTTTCTTTACATTCTTCTCTAAGGGTTCCTTATGTTTCCACTTAATAAACTTCTTTAAAGCACATATATTTAGATCGCAAAATGCCTAATAAATAATTATTATATGTTATATCTTGCACAATATTCGAGCTCTAGCGAAACGACTGATCAATGATTCCACACTTCTAGACCTAACCTCTGCTAACCTCTCTAAGACAATCAGCTGATTGTTTAAAGAGATGGGAACTGCTCTTTGCAGGTGCACTGAGTTACACTTTCTGCACGTCTAATGCTCGTTTTTCTGCGCATGTGCAACGTGCAACACGTGACAGTTATACACATACACCGCATACACGTGTGTCGTGTGTATCGCTGCTGAATGTGAGGTTATGTGACATAGAGATTATCAGTTCTCGTTATTATTGCAATAGCGGTTTTTTTCCGTGAATACAAAAAGGGTAAGCTTCACAATTAACGTAAACGGGATATTATCTGTATTCTGTATCTTCCACTATCGAATTTATTTATTTCATTTTTTGAACGAACGTGCGTAATGATCATCCGGGCGCTTTTCCAGAGAGCAAGACGTCGAAATGTCGTCGTGGAAGAAAGCCGCGAAGGCGAGCCAGAAGACCCATCGGGAACGTCACCAGCCGGAGACCCGCAAACACCTGGGGCTGCTGGAGAAGAAGAAGGACTACATCGCCCGAGCCAGGGACTTCCAAGAGAAGCGTGCGACCATCAAGCTCCTGAGGAAGCGCGCGCTGAACAAGAACCCGGACGAGTTCCACTTTCACATGATCAACTCCAAAGTGGTGAACGGCGTTCATCGGGAGAAGGACAAGGAGGATCAGCACACGCCCGAGCAGATCAAGCTGATGGAGACGCAGGACCTCAGGTACGTGGCGTACAAGAGGAACATCGAGGCGAAGAAGATAGACAAGATGCAGAGCCAGTTGCACATGATCGACGCGGCCAACGAGACGCGGAATAAGCACATCTTTTTCGTGGACGACAGTGCCGAGATGAGGAACTTTGACCTCGCCGAGAAATTGAACACGCATCCGGCGCTTCTGTCCAGGCGCACCAATCGGCCAACGTTGGACGCGATCAAGCGTATGAAGCTACCGGAACTCGATAATAAGACTATCGCTAAGCTCGAACAGAAGAAACACATGGCCTACAAAGAACTCGAGAAGAGGGTCAACCGCGAACGCGAACTGACGGTCGTTCAGCAGAAGTTAGAGATGCGCAGAGCGCTGAAAGACAAGAAAACCAAGAAACCGAAACTAGTGAAGCCTGGCTCGAAGGATACCGCTCCTATTTATAAGTGGAAGTTTGAGAGAAAACGATAATTTATTTATATTATAGATTTTTTTATGATTAGGTATAATATTAGTTAATTATGAATATCGAGTAAAAATGTATATACATAGCTTTCATCATTTTCGATATTATTCTTTTAACGTTTGCGATAAGTCGATAATAAACAATCACGTTTTTCGATAAATAAATTCCATTGAGCAGTAATTTAATAATAACGATCAAATCTATTCTTAATTTGTATTACTTATTAATATCTAATAATAATGAAATATAAGTACATAGAATATATATTGTTGAAGCAATTTATAATTCAGCTAAGAAAAGCACGTTATTACATAGAAGTGTTAAATCAAAACTTATATACTCGTGTATACGCAACAATCTATAATGTTATAAGAATTCAACTTTTTTTTTGGTTGAACTTATACATATAAAACTTCGTTTAATTATATAAATGACTTCAAACGAGTTGCCTTCATTTAACGCAATATAATCTCATTTCAAAATTATAGATTGCTGTATATATAAGAGTATAAAGTCTTGATTTGACACTTCTTTTTTTTCTGTGTATTAATTTACCATCTTTGCTCATCTCGCTATATTTATAGTTTCGTAACACTCACATTCTTCTTTTTTGATATTTTTAGTTCCATTATTATATCGCTAATTATTTTCTTCAATATTCCGCCGTCTGCGGACATCAATATAATCAATTAAAAGATTGTCACTTGATCGGCGTTGAAATGTTGGAAATTATTTCAAACATTTCGGTAATATCCTCCGCTTCTTCTGATCCTCCGCTTGTTTCCACGCCATTCATTTCCGACGTTTGCACGATCGCCATCTCGCTCGATGGCATTGCTGTCATCGGCTCTGTCATCGATGACTGGCTGCTTTCTGCCGTGGATGTTTCCGCGATCACGTCCGTATCCGTCATTCTCACGGTGTTGTTAGTTGACATAATCGGCAACATCATTGATATGCTTATGCAATCGTAATTGATCTGCCAAAGTTGTTTCTTGGCGTAAATGTCGAGGCGAAGGCAAGCCGTAATCGAGCTATATGAAAATTTAGAAATTGCAGATTAAATTGAAAACGAATGTTTAAAGATTAACTGTGGACAGCTTTGGCAGTATGAAAATAATTTTAAGATTCACGAATTGAATTATTTGAAAAAAATTTTGAATTTCTTTTTATTAGTTACAGATCTCTAACTTTTTTAATACAATAATTATTTTAACACGTGCCTAGGAAATTGATTGAGCTCCAAGATTTTGACACACGCGGTCGAGAAAAGACAACCAGGAACGTACACGCAAAACTGGAACGCCTTGAAATCTGTAAAATAAATTATATGTAACTTACATATTAATTATATATATAATATTATATTAATTATAATTAATATATATATTATAATATATATTAATTATAATATATATATTATATTGAAATCGAAAATACTAACTCGTGACTGTTCTAGTGCTGATTGTATCCGAACTCAACGTGACATCCACATTTAGTCCGTTTCTCTGATATGTGAAATTGACGCACACTATAACATAAAAAATTCGATAGTTTAATTCTTGATTTATTATTTTACTTTAATATTACTTTTAAAGACTCACGATCCTTCTCTCTTCTAGTATAAAGGATCATCACGCTTTGGCAGCAAGAACAGGAGAAAGACATCGAGCAGTTGCATGATTGTCGAGTAGCCGAAACCGTTCTGTAAATCAGGAATCCTCTCGATACCCTTGTGCCTAATAAATGTTGCCTCTGTTAGTTTTTTTTTCTTAGTTTAAACATGTAATAAAATAAATCCAAACACATGCATCTTAAAATTATATATAATTTGAAAACATCGAAAAAATATATTTTAATATTTTTAATCATAATCGTCAAAAGTTCCATTTAGTTATTTGCCCAAGTATTGCATTTGGGAAGAAATAAAATTTTCTCATCCGTGAGATAATTGCTAGCACTAACTTTTAACAAGGATAATTTCGCGAACGAGGCACAACCAGATGAAGACGAGTGCACCGATGCTACGCGGATCCATATTACGTTAATTATAACAAACGCGCGAGTTCCTCGTAATTATATTAGCTTATTAACGAGCGACGTCTCGTTATACACTAAACGGTTTCTGCTCTTTCACGTTCCGCCCGTCGTTGTATACAGGACAACTGCAATTACGAGAGCTATTGTGAGCCTATTGTATTGTAGGCTTTTAGAAAATATCCGGAACGTTTTTGTCCACTCTGAATTATATATATACGGGCATGAAATCCGCCATTGTGTTTGCGCACGCAGCATTTCTCTACAATCTATCTATGAGATCAAAAAATAATGTACGTGTGCATGCTCCTGCAACAATGATACACTTTCACATAAAATTATAATATTATATTTGATAATTAAAAAATTATTTAAAAGAAGAGAAAGTAGGTATCGTCACGCGATTTGCAGATAGAAATATACAATATACCTATGCATTAAAAAAATCATTTTTTTGTAATAAAATCAAACTTAATAATTTTTTGTATAAATGTTTGCAATTATTTATTTGACAAATGACAACAAATGACAACAATTATTTATTTGACAAATGACAACAATGAACACGTACACATGGCACATATAATAACTTATATAGTATTATTATTATAGTATCAACTTTTATAGTGTGCATTTTCTAACAAGCGACACAAGTCGACATAAACGACTCTCTTTTTTTGGCAATGAATAACAAAGACAGAACAACACTTGTGTTGCTTGTTGGAAAACGCACAATATCATTATTATCTGTTTTCGAAAGATATTTTTAGAATATATCATCGTCGTCGTCGTCATCGTCATAATCATCATCATCCTCGTCATCGTAGTCGTCATCGTTCGCATCTTCCGGAAGAAGTTCTACTTGACCAAAGCCTAAACCACCTCCGTCCTCTGGCTTTAACAAAGCTAATCCGTTTGAACCGAATCTGAGACAGTCAAAATTAACCTGCGGAAATAGACGAAATCTGATAAAATTATGTAAGTCATTTCTGACCATTTAATACACGGGAAAAAATGATGTATTAATAGTATTATTATGATATCTAATTGGAAATAATTTGTTAATTCAATAACAGTATTAATACAACAATATTAATAAAACAAGTATTTGTTTTTTATTAATACTTTAATATATTTTATTTTAGACTATGTATTATTTATTTAGACTAAACTATTATATATTTAGACTATTAATACTAAGCCAAATACTTGTTCTATTAAAATAAGAACATAACGTATTGAATTAATAAGATTATTTCGAATCAATTAGAGAAGAACGCCATTTTTGGCCAGGACTGGATCTTGGAAGCCTTATAATAATATTATTCGCGTGAATAACGTTTTTTGTAAACACTTTCTTTACGCCTTAGTCCAAAAATGGTGCGCGCGTTCTTCTCTAATTGATTGTATATCATAGCGGTCCTATATATATTTACTTATTATTAAAATTATTGTTTCTAATTTAGATTTATTAAAGTCTAATGCTGTTACCACACATCATTTTTTTCGTTGACATAACAAGATGTGCACATTTTTTATCTATATTTGTTAGACTAAAAATACGTAAGGGAGACCGGGGTTCTCTTCACAATTTCGAGATTTGAGTTTTTAAACAACTAATTATCATGATTAAACAATACTAATATGATAGAGAGAATCTTTCTCTACATCTTCATGCTAGGAACGCTTTTGTATACTGTATAGTTTCTTTGTAATAAGTGAAATACGAACATGCTGTATTGTAGCCAACTTGCCCTGATAGTAGGGTAAGTTGGCTATGCGGCAAAAGTCCATGTTAAATTAATGAAAGTGCAATAGAAACATTTCTTGATAAAGATTGTATCTTTTAAAGTTATTTTGTAATGATCGAATAGCAAAATGCTGTTGCAGAAAAACAATTGTAAACTATTTTAGATGTAGCTTTCTTCAACATAGAAGCTAGATATATATTTATATTAATATTTTTATATTAGGGTCACCCAGATTACTGTTGCTTCTCAAAATAATATGTTATATATAGTAACAGAATTTAAACTTTTCTTTTAACTAATGATACGTCACTTTGATTTACTTCTCAAGCTGAAGAACATTAAGGTAGTTCTCTTGTCCTTATACTAGAGAAAATCGATTTTTTATTATAGATTTTCTTGAAACTGTGAATATACGTTAATTTAGGTGTGCTTTATGCGTGGCATAAATTTCAGTACCTCCTCCGGTATAAAAAATCAAGATACTGAGCCTCAAAGTTTCAATTTTTACCAAAAAAATTTAAAATTTAATTTTTTTAATTTTGGCATTTTTTCCTTATAGAACTCGACGAGACAAGCAACTTTGGTCCTTTTGGCCAACCTCGTATCTCTTACCGTTTGGCCTGGAAAACCTTTTCATTAGTAAAAGTTGAAACTTTGAAGCTCAGTATCTTGATTTTTTATACTGGCAGAGGTACTGAAATTTATATCACGCATAAAAGCACACCTAAATTAAAGTATATTCACACTTTCAAGAAAATCTATAAAAAATCGATTTTCTCTAGTATAAGGACAAGAGAACTACCTTAATACGATATCTTGAAACTCTCGAAAATTTACTTGCCTCTTCTTGAATCACAGTTTTCTCTTTTTCTATTGTAATGCTTGTTTGATTTAAATAAAACTTTGGAAAAAGTGCCTATGTCATAAAAGAGATATTTTGTGATAACTATTCCATTGTTTCTTTCGCTAAATACATAAACAAAACGCATTGCCAACTTGCCTCTTGTGCCAAGGAGCCCCGGTCTTCCCTAATGTACCTAATAATACTTTTCAAACAATTTCAAGAACTCAAGGACAAACTTTTCAAGAACTTTCAAATCTGACCTTAAACAATGTAGTATCCTGGAATTTTCCTTCCAGATTAACACACAGATGAATATTCCTGCCTTGGAAATATATATTATAAAATCTGACGCACGCTCTGATCGGTAGCCTCGGAACAGGAACGCAAATCGGTCTAGGATTCTTTCCTAAGGATACGCGAAAAATTTTGATAAATTAAGAAAAAATATATTTATTTTCTTTTCATCTATAAATCTTTCAATTATCTGATTATTGATTTATGTTTTATCTGTAAATGCGCTTACCGGAAACAGTCCTCGTATAAAGAACTCTGTCGTTCATCATGATTTTGGCGGTGAAGCTGAATTCGTCAGGATCGTATGAGACGTTCACGCACGCCTTTTGTCCGTACAGGATTCTCGAACAACATCCGCAGACACCGCCGCCACACTGGCATGGTTGCCTAGTCGCGGTGACCGTGCTGTTTCCCGATGTCGAAGAATTCGTGGTCTGTTTCAACAGCGCCTTGAATTGCTCCAGATCTTCCTGCGATTGCGAGAAATCCTCGAGCTCGCTGCTAACGATTCTTCCTGTCGTGAAACCTTCCTCGACTCTCGATTCCAGGCGCGAGCACAATTGCGCGAAGACGATGATCAACAGCAGCCAGCAGGCGGCCCTCATTTTGCGTCCTTGATCTTGTCTCTGCGCTCAAGCGAGACGAGAGGACATCTCCTCGAGATGTGCCTCCTTGCTGGGCGATTGAAACTTGACTGGCCGGTTAACGGGCTTTTCATACTGACCCAGTTTTACGGTGAAATTTAGGCTTGGCTCGCGCTTGCCCGCATTTTGTTATTGCCTAGAACTCGTCATGGAGAAACGACAGGATTTTCTGGAAATGCTGTCGCGTGTCTCGAATATCTTTAATCGTTCAATACGGTAAGAATGAAACATTATTTCAAGCTAGCGTTTTGTAAATTTAATTATTCGTTGATTTAATATGATTCGATCTTCGTCAATATTAATAACGCGAGGCTCTTGAAGACATTTGTCATTGAAGCAAGAACTTTATTTTTAATTAAAAAAAATAAATAAATGCGTTAACTTGTAAAAGTTAATACTTACGTGCATTCAATATATTTTATAAAATAATATAAGGCAAATTTGAAGCTACAGTTGCAATATACATTTTATCGATCTTCACATCAGGAATACATACATATATTATATAACGACAAATAGAACATATTAACTGATAAATATAATAAATACATTTGTAACATCATAATAACGCATCTTATATGGGTATAATTTTGTAATTACGCAGAGATCACAGTTTTAACTGGCCAATGTTATTTTCCTGCTCGGGGGTCAGAATCGGAGTTTGATTGTTTGGAAGTTCAACGGAATCTGGCTCGAAGTCCACTGGGTCATATATTTCCGGCCCATTCACTTCCGACATGAGCATTGCCAGTGGCGCCGTGTTGGAGACATTACTGCCGTTCTCGGGCTTCATCCAGGAGACGCCATCCGCGCCGATCTTTACGCAATCGAAGTGCAAAATCAAGACTGGCCATGTCACCACAAGTGTCTCCAGATCAATGCACGCGTGTAGATTTTTGCCCGACGTGTAGACGTCGAAGAAACGCACGCAGAAAGATATGAAAGGAGGGTAGAAAGGCACGCAGACCGGTGGTGGATTCTTAGCTGCGAATTAATTTATTACACTACACAATCATTGTACACACGAACACAAATTGCAATAAATTTAAATCGAATTAGTTAAAAGTCCGTTAACTACTAATTTTGCGAAGTTTATATAATTAATTTATCACAATAAATTTTTTAATTTTATTGCGTAAGCGAAAAAAGACAAGAGAATCCAATATTATTTTTCTTCACCAGGAAAATGTAAAAGATGAAGATTATCTCAGGTTGAAATATATTAATTATATGTAAAAGTTATTTAATTAGAGTTACTCACCAGATAGAGAACCTGTACTAAGAACTTCTCTTTCGTTTACTATAAGATTGAATTTGATGGCGAAGTCTTCAGGGGAATAGGTAAAATTAGTGCAGGTACGACGGTCCAGGTTGAACAAAGTTATGTTGATGCCGCTGCAACAGCCACAAGTGAAACCTTCGCAGTTGCATTTTACACCACGGAAACCGATCGCAGGAAAAGGGTCACGACCAATCCTCTCTAGTGCGCCTTTCAATCCCAATCGCGTGTTCGGATCGTAGAACACCGAATTGAATTTGGTCACATCTGAAAGAAAACAATGTCAGACAGAATCAGTATCTCTTTCGTTTTCTAAAAGGAATTATTTTTCTTTCTCTAAAAACGTAACAATATGTTACAAAGATAATTAATTAATTATCTTTGTAAGATATAATTTATCTAAAAGAAAAAACGATGCTTTTAATTAATTGTACATATTATCTTTAACTCGTGCAATTCTCACGTAATAATAACAATATATTTTTATTATAATATAACGCTATTATTTTGATTGCAATATAATAATAGTATAATTGCTTTCTGTTAATTATAATTAATATTAAATTAATAATTTTCTATTAATTATAATTAATTATAAGAAACATCTCTACATTAACTAGAAGTTCTGCAAATATTTCATCAGGGCTGTTTTTTTATTAACAAATGGCATTGCAATTTCCTACAAATTTCCATTGTAAAATTTTAAGATATTAATTGCAAAAAACTATTTAGACTTCTCACCGATGTATTTTCCGATGAAATGACCCGCAGAAATGTTTTGAATTACTAAAGCCAGAAGAGATACAAGGAGCCACTTAGATAGCATTGTCGTACCAGCTGCACAACCTGCACGTTTCAATGCCGACGGAAGACTGAAATTGGGCACACGTTGGACCACGAGACGCAGAGACGCCAGGCTCATTAATTATGCATCAACTTTCCATACAAGGTAAAATAAGAATACTTAATGAAAGATTGTCAGCATTAATTAAGTGACGCTTTACGACCAAAGAATAATCAAAAAGGATATAAACCTACTTTTACTTTTACTAAAAATTTAAGCTTTATAATAACTATTAAATGACTATTTAAATCTGTGAGAGATGCGGCAAGAAATTCAAAGAAATCCGAAACTTTGCGGAAAAATATGGTGCAGAAAAATACGGGAACCGTATTACATGTAGCTATATTTTTCATAAAAAAAAAAGATTTTAAGGATAAAAACATTTCTCCGAATTCTTTATATCCTTTTCTTATATTTCTAAAATTACAAAAGATATCGAGAAAAATATTGACCTTTTTAATTTTCAAGATTGCTAATAAAAATATATGCATTTAATACTACTTTAATATATGCATTATCCAAAATAGATATATGTATCAGACCGGCCCATCTATTCGAGTGCTCTCGTTACGTAACAAAGGAATTTAAGACGTCACATTGTTTAAGAAAATATGGAAGATAAGAGCCCGCTTTTGTGTCTTGACACACGTGTGTTCGAGCGTGTGTTATTACCATGCATAAGTCAATTATTAAAGTCTGTTTGTCTACTAGTAATAAAAGTATAAAACTCTTATCTTCAAAGCTGTCGTACACACATGTTTAACAATGTCAAATAATCTTAAATCTCTCGATTGCGCAACTAAAATTACTGGTTGCGTGCTGCAAAAATTAATCTAATTTACTAATTGTGTTTACCAAAACTTGCACTTAATTGCAGGCAACTACTTGGAATAGGTATTTTTAGATATAGACAGCTTTTTTAAATTTTCGTATCTTGGAAAATATCATAAAAATTGTTATTTAAAATGGTTTTGTATTAACATGCTTTTATAATAATTAATTATTAATAATTATGTGTCGAAAACTTTCCGACAGAATTAATTTTAACTAATCAGGAAGTATATTAAATCTTAATGTAATAAACATTTTTATACGCATTGAAAACTACTTTAATAATTTAAATGATTTTAAATTAGTGCTCTAATCAATAATTTATTACTGTTAATTTTAATTTAAAAAACTGAAAAAATTCTAAAATTAAAAACAAAATGAATAACTACGAAAAGTACATGACATATAAATAGCGCGTTATATTTATTTATTTATTACAGAGTCAATAAATAACTTAATACATACATAAATCATAATACATACAATAAATATTCATTTGCTCTTAATAAATAACGTTAAACTAATCGAGCAATTTATTATGGCTGAGGTCATTGCAAATTCTCGCATTACATAAAAATCTCCCTAAGATCTTGTTTCCAAGACATAAAAATCTTCTATTCGCGCAATTCTATTTGAGCGTTTTCTCAAGAAAGCTCTTCCATCTTTGCTGTAAGATTTCAGTCTCCATATTATTTAATAAATAAAAAAATAACTACGTAAAAAAACAAGATAATTGTGATAATAGCGAAATAAACCGCGAAGTTATTTTCCAACAATAAAATCAATTAACACTTATTGTGAAATAAACGATCTTCTTTTTACGATTATCGTTACGAATCGTTAAGAAATAATTAGGATGTCGTGAAAACACGCAATCCGTTATTTTTCAGCCATCACGAAATTACGAGTCGAGAAATGTTGACTCTTGTAATCTTATCGTTAAAAAACAGGTCGCACTGTCACAATTATACCAATTCACCGAATTTTCGAAGAACGTTCCGCCGATCCGAACAAAACACCCCGAGTTTCGTCGGATCCAACGAATTTATGACCAGACAAAAAGGATGAGCTTTCTTCGATTTCCAATTACCCTACTGACTGGAGCAATACTCTGTACAATTCAAAGCCTCGTGATCTTGCTTTGACGATTTTCACTTGAATGCCTCTCCCTACCGAGAAATCCAAGATCGTAATCCTCATCATCGTGCTTGTGGACGTTAGTTTGATTCGTCTTCGTGTCTTCTTTGCTCTTCTTACTTTTCCCAGTACCCATAAGAGCGCTCAACATGGCGTTTTCTTCTTCCTCGTCGTCATCGTCGTCGTCGTCGTCCAAATCGTCAAGATCCTCGGCTTTCACGTCCTCATCATCGTCGTGCTCCTCGTGCTTCTCATCTTCCAATTTATCTTCGTCCTCATCGTCTTCTTCTTCGTCTTCATCATCCTTCTCGTCGTCGTCATCGTCGAGAAGATCGTCATCCTCGTCGTCGACGTCCTCGTCATCATCATCCAGAATATCATCGTCATCATCGTCATCCTCATCCTTGACGGGTTTCTTCGCCGGCTTCTCAGGATCCTGGATCGCGTTGACGCTGGTCGACGTTACCGTGGGTTTCTTCTTGTTTCCGATGACTCCTTTCTTCACTTTGTTGACGGTCGGCGCCTTGTCAGGTTTTGCGGTGTACACGATTTTGTTGGAGGACTCGGTGATCTGTTCCTGGTTCTCGTCAGTGTTGTCTTCGGTGTTGCTCTCTTCGGTCAATGCTCCCGTATTTTCTTCTTCTTCTTCTCCGCCCCCTTCTGCCTTCAATGGTTCCTGGGTGATGTCGTCGTGTTCCTCGTAATTATTTTCCTGCTCGTTGTTGTTGGGGAAAGTAGGCAGCTCGTGATCCTCTAACAATACGGGAGTCGTTGGCCGTGGTAGAATCGGTATGGTGAATTCCAACAACGGTGGCCCGGTGGTAACTTGGGGTCTTGTCGGCGTGTCGTCATCGCCACCAGTGAAGATATCCAGCAGAGCGCTGAAGCCTAGTATGTCATCATCGTCATCGTCGTCTGACTCCTGTGCGTTATCAACTCCCGAGGCATCGGGGACGGTATTCGTAATGGGTCTTTCGTCGTCCTCATCGTCGTCATCGTCGTCGTCGTCATCTGAACCGAGCCCGAAAAAATCGTCATCATCGTCTTCCTCTGAAGTGACCTCTGTCTCGACAACTGGAAGTGGCTCGGCAGGTCGAAGCTTCAAACCCTCTGGACCAAATCTAAAATTCATCAAATCAAATAACGGGATGTTGCTTTTAACAGTACTAGACGTCATAAACGCGCGCGCTATTTAGCTTTATTGTTATATTACTATCTCACTATTACATAACACTGTATGAGTGGATTTTAACAAATAATTTGTATATTATATTAATTTCTGTTGTAAATTTAAATTTGCAAAAAGGAAATCGACTACTATATTGCACTTTTATTGATAAGTACCTGAAGCAACTAACGCGAAGAGTGGCTTCCAACTCGGTAGGAGATTGCAGTTCCAAACCGAGGCACGCTTTGAAGTGATTCTTCGCGTCGCGCTGGATGGAATAAATCCTGCCGCAGAATTTGTTGAAGCCACCCGGTAGCGGGACACACACAGGCTTCGGACTTTTTCCTGAAATTCATAATTTTACCGAAATGTCAAATAATTTATCTCTAATAAATAAAAAATTAAGTAAAATATCAAATTAAAACGATTTTATTAAATCTGAGGAAGCGCCTCAGAGAGATACCTATATTACAATAACTAGGTATCATGATCTAGAACCTGTCTAGTTCAAACAAATCGAGGTCGTCAAACATGATAAAAAAAAAGCAAACCCACTCGACGTCGACATCCTCGAAAAATCGTCCGTACAAATATACTTTCGCTCCGTTAGACTGACACAAATTTCGGAGTGGCGCCTGCACGTCACCGTTGACTTCGTAATCTATTTTTTTTCGTGGACGCATACCGGAGAAATCGATCTCGTGCATATGAAACTGGCACGACAATGTGAAATTTGTCCGATGTAACGAGGCAAAAGTATTTTTTATTTAGTTATTGCGTAGTTTCGCGTTCTTTACAAGGAAGTAAAAGTTTCAAGAGCTATGCACATCTTCTATCGACGGGTCTTCTATTGACAGTGACAAGCACATGCCGGGTGAAAGTTGGGATTATAGCTTCCTGGACGTTACGCTAATATGATGTATCCGCCGAACGTTGATTCACGCGCAATTAACACACTTTTCTCGCCAATATTATCGAGCGCGCGGTACACGTGTGTGATTTAGTATTTTCCGAGGCACGCGACGTAAATTGTCCACCGCGAATAAAGAGAAACGTAGTCTGTAGTCTCCATGTGTGTTTTCTATATAAAGTCTGGTTCTTTTTACAATTTACAATAGCGGTAATATATCATTCTAAATCTACATTATCAGAATCACTGTAAATAAATAATATTATATCAAATCAATTATCGAAATTACTTTGAATAAATGGGAAATTATTCGAGAGATCAATTTTTTTTAGCAAACTTGCTAAATTTTTATCGATAAGTAAGCTGAAAAATATAATTATTTGCTGTAATTTGCTCTTTTAATAAAAATTCACAGGAAATATTGACTAATCAGAAAAAAATGCCGAACTAATAATCGACACCGTTATTAAATTTGATTGCGATTACCGTTAACGATTGTGCTGGTTAATATGTTGTCGCCGAAGCTCAACTGGACTGCCAAATTATCACCTTGAAGGTACTGCAGCGAAGCGCATCCTAAAATTTCAAATACTTTCGTTAGTAACGTAATATGTTTATAAAAAAATATGACGTGATAAATACTACGAAGGATAACATTCTATTTTACGTAACATGTTTGACATGACGGTTAATCAAACAATACACGGTACTATATAGATAAACAAACGCATATTATACTTTGCTTCCGTACTGCACTTTCATTTTTCGTGCATGCGTTGCGTGATAATTACCCGGTCCTTTCAGCTGCACGAGCGGTATGTGAAAGTCCCGGCAGCAATTGCAAATGTTCTCGTTGCAGGTGCAGTATCGGTTCACGCTGTCGGTCGCCTGTTTCAGCGACATCGTCGTCAAGTCTATATCGCTTTGCTTCACGTTATTCGCGGCACGAGCCACCCGATGCGTCGCCTCATCGCGATCTGCGAACATTTTTACGATTTAAGCCCGCTTTAGACGATCTATAATTTATGTCAAAGTTCAGGATAGAGTCCTATATAATAAATAATTTATCCTATATAATTAATAATTTATTATTTTACGTACCGCGGAATACGGAAAACATTTAAATGTACACACATATAAAATATTAAAATATACATATAAAATAATAAATGGAAAAATTAAATTAAACATACCTACATAAAATTATAAATAAAATTTTATCCTGAAATATGATAAATCGCGAATTATAGAAAGTCTAATGAGCTTTATCATAAGTATTGCTTTTTTTTTCTTATTCATATATGCAATGAAATCTGTATCAAAATTAATTTCCACGTTTTTCCATTAGATTTATTTTTGCTTATTTCATTTTGTTCATTTTTTTCTTAAATTTACTTCTCTTACCAATTACTCGACCGTAAGCCGCGAAGGCCACCAACAAGAGGATCAGCAACAACTCGAAAATCGTCGACAGTCGCATTCTTTCGCTCTGTTCTGAAAACAATACCAAGAACCTGTATCGCGATTGTAATATTACGCTGTGATAAACATCCGTCTCGTATGTAGTGGCACGTTCCAAACTCATTTCAGTATCTTTCGGCCAATTCTGATAAAGGTGCGACAATAGAACCGTAAAAACATAACAAGATTTTACGCACGTGCCGACGCAGAGACCAGAAACTGCGCCGAGTTTCATGCTTAATTTACGCAGTAGATATATTTTCTTACATGATTAAATATTATTTCCAAAGTCGAAATTTTTTCAACAAATAATAATTAGTATATCTTTACTGGTTATTTTTTCCCACGCAAATCGGACTTCAAATTTAACAACCATTTTTTATTACCAGTGAATTAAGAAGTAATTTTCGCAGTGTTAAACAATTTTAATGACAAAAATTCAAAATATTTTTTTAATGGTGTACAAAAATTAATTTATTATTAAAAAATTCATTATTAATTTATTATGAAGAATGTATTGATATAACGGGTGATTATATTAAAAAATAAAAATAATTGTGTTTTATTTTATTATCCTTTTTTATATAGGCAGGGAACTTTTGGATTTTACTACATATTTTATTTCCCTCGAAAGCTCGTTTCGTCAATTAAGCGACTTTGGACTACGCTTTTCAACTTCACGCAGAGCGCGTTCAACTTGTTCATTCATAAAGAGCACATTTAAAAAAAAGAGGGCATTGAACGTGTTTCTTCCCTCATAATTATATTTCTCCCGCCTCCCGATGATTATCCCATATAGTCCCCGTCACGGCGAACAATAGAGACACTCGTTCCGCTCATCAATCGTCGAGATAGAGCGGCAATCTCGTTTCCTTTCTGCCACCCGATTCACGAAAACATCTCTACCAGAACCACCGCGGTATTATTTTTTCATCTTTCGGATAAACAACCGTCGTAGACACGCGCGCGGCGAAACGTATTCCCCTTCCGGTTTTCAAACGCGAACGTCCCTCTCGTATATGCTAGCGACCGGTTGACCCAAATCCCGGTCACGGTCAAAGGCGTGCGTCAGAAAGGCGCTTACTCGAGAGACCCGATGGCGGAGTGCGGACTTTAGTAGCACGATCGAGGAGACGTGCGGTTTTACGCGCTAGACAGACACTCATGCCACCGTTATAAAGCGCGTTACATATGGTTGAGGTTGCTGGATACGGTCGTGGCTACGCTTCGACGTTGTCGCCGAGCGCGCGTGAGATCGATTCCTCACGCGTCGTCGTGCCCCATGCACAGACCGAATCGCGGAAGTGACTGTGCGAGAAATTAGATTCGGCGCAATTGGTGATTTTATAAAAGGTTTTTTAGGACTCGCTATATAAATATCCATCTCTCACTTGTTAGAGGCTTTATTAATTTCAGAGAAGATACATAATAAATATTGTACATGAATAAATACGCACATGTTACACATATTACATTATGTAATACGCGTGGCGGATTCAAATTGTACAATATTTTAAATTTAATGGCGTATGCGTGATGTTTGATTTCTGAATAATTTAAATATCAAGCAAAGTCAATTTTGCATAATGCGTGTAAAGAAGCAGAGCACAAGAAATATTCGTTGATTTTGTTTTACATGTAAACTCTATTTTATTAATGTTAAACGTATTAAACACGTGATTCTATTAAATGCTTATATATAGAAATCGTACAGAATACAATATATATTATTTTGTAAGATATTATTTAAAGAATTATGAATTATGTACTTTTAAAGAATCAATCGCTACGTGTGGCAATGGATTTTTTAAGTGTAACTCATGAATCTTTAGATAAATAAAGAAAATATTACCACACGTGGCGATTGATTCTTTAGCGAGTGACTCTTCGTTTTTGTCGCAGCGTGTGTTTTCCCGATTTCTCAAATCTCCCAAACGTATACAAATTGTATCTGACTCTACCCACCTGTGGGTCGTTGAGAAGAAATCCGAGGGAGCAACCGTGCTCGTTGTTCTCCTGTCTCCTGCACCCTACGGCTCTTTTTCCCTGACTCTTCGTCTTACGGAGGCCAATGTCCAACTGAAGATGCCGCCCAACTCCCCCCAAGGTTTCTTTAAAAGTCGGTCAGGCCACCACCACCTGTCCACCGCGGGCCGCTGCTAGGATTATTAAACATTCTAATGCGCTCTAGGTAAATCAGAGGCGGCCCCACACCAACCACGTCACGTCGCTCGCTTCCGATCCTTCGTCGGACTATACGATGACGGCGTCGTCGTCGTCCCGACGATGAAAGCGGGAAGTCCACTTTTCCATCTCCCCGCGTAACCGGTATACCGGTGCCATGCCCGCGGTGCGCACACACGGGTGAATGAAGATGGTTCCGGATGATTCAACATTCGCACGAAAATATCCGCGGGAGGGGGAAAAGTCACGCTAATAACTTCCGACATCCTAATTGCGTCCGGATTCCGGCAGAAAAAGCGACAAGCCGCGCCCCGGGGACGCGACAGTCTTCGCGATGCGCTTATCTCAAGTCGTTTAAATTGTTATCGCAAAAAGTTGAATGGCATTTGGGGTATTCTGAAAAAAATACTTCAAGATGATATACATGAAAAAAACGAAGTTTTTCAAAATATTCAAGATTTCTAAAAATATTGTCTTTTGGCGCAAAATCCAGGAAAATCTTTATCTACTAACACCTCTCTAATTTTCGAGATTATATTTTATAAGATTAGATTTTACTGTAATTTTGTTTACTCTAATTTTTTTGTATTATAAGCCAGTATTTAATATTATATTCAAAATATTAATTAGAATTTTATTGTTATACTTGCCGCGCTTTAATTTAGTTTTATGAGCATCACAGATTCTCTCTAATTAATTTGCGATCGCTATAATAACGTGACCTATTTTCTACCGATGATACTATATCGCATCGATGACTGGCAATGCATCTACGATTAGTGTAAGTGACATCAATTCTTTATTCGCATTGTACATACTAATTGCTTTGACATCCATATCATCGTTTCATGTGAGTACCCAGTTCCTGGTAACCAATAAAAACTTTAAAACTTGTCGGACAGCTGTTGAAAAGATAATGGGCAATTAAAAGAATCCTATAATATTGACAAAATTTAGTATTCTTTATCATTCTTAATTTAATATTCTTTAATTCTTAGAATCTTTTGTTTTAAT